AATTTTTGCAAATTTTATTAAATTGAAAAAATAACAATTTTGATAATCGATTATTAATTTGCATAATCGAGCGCTTAGTCGGTTGCTGCAAACGACTGACTTTCGATTATAATCGATCACCACCACTACCAGTCTGTGTGTGTTTTGTGCGTGTTTTATTGTCAGGTTTGTTTAGCGTTATTACGTAGCAGTGTTTTTACGGATGCCTTTCTTGCAACAACGATTGCCTATATACATACGTGAGAATTTTCTGCGGATCCACGGATTTCCACTTGTTTAATTATTTTTCCAAGCATAATGAGAAATTGCTTAACTCGTGTAGATCCGTGTATATTTTCTGTCCGCAGGAAAGCGGACGACCAAGAGAGGAACTTGCATCGGGGAGGAAAGTGAGAGAGGAACCTGAAACAGGGAGGAAAGTGGGAGAGGAACCTGCATCAGGGAGGAAAGTGGGAGAGGAACCTGCATCGGCGAGGAAAGTGGGAGAGGAACCTGCATCGGGGAGGAAAGTGAGAGAGGAACCTGCACCGGGGAGGAAAGTGAGAGAAGAACCTGCATCGGGGAGGAAAGTAAGAGAGGAACTTGCATCGAGGAGGAAAGTGAGAGAGGAACCTGTATCGGTGAGAAATAGAGATCTCGATCACCGCCCGCTCGATGGAACCTTCTCTTCCTTCTGCTTCTTCTTCTCTGAAACCGTACGCGTGTGACACGTGCAGTTATCGATGCTCCCAGAGTCAACGGTTGAAGGAGCACGCGCGCACGCACACGGGAGAGAAACCGTATGCGTGCGATGTATGCGAGTACAGGAGTTCTCTGCTGGCGCATCTCAAGAACCACGCGCGCACGCACACGGGAGAGAAACCGTACGCGTGTGATGTATGCGAGTACAGGAGTTCTACGCTGACACATCTCCAGACCCACGCGCGCACGCACACGGGAGAGAAACCGTACGCGTGATCACGCGCGCACGCACACGGGAGAGAAACCGTACGCGTGCGATGTATGTGGCTCCGCCTACAACTCCTCCGGCAGCCTCAAGACGCACTTTCTCACGCACACGGGCCAGAAACGTTACGCGTGTGACGCGTGCGAGTACAGGACTTGCTCCCGCAACAGCCTGAACAGGCACGCGCGCACGCACACGGGAGAGAAACCGTACGCGTGTGATGTATGCGAGTACAGGTGTTCTCGGCCTGCGAATCTCCAGATGCACGCGCGCACGCACACGGGAGAGAAACCGTACGCGTGTGATGTATGCGAGTACAGGTGTTCTCGGCCTGCGAATCTCCAGATGCACGCACGCACGCACACGGGAGAGAAACCGTACGCGTGCGACATATGCGGCTCCGCCTACACCACCTCCAGCAGCCTCAAGACGCACTTTCTCACGCACACGGGAGAGAAACCGTACGCGTGCGACATATGCGGCTCCGTCTACACCACCTCCGGCAGCCTGAAGCAGCACTTTCTCACGCACACGGGCCAGAAACCTTACGCGTGTGACGAGTGCGAGTACATAACTTGCCTCCGCGGCAACCTGAAGAGGCACGCGCTAACGCACACGGGAGAGAAACCGTATGCGTGCGATGTATGCGAGTTCAGGAGTGCTGACCTGCCGTATCTCAAGATCCACGCGCGCACGCACACGGGAGAGAAACCCTACGCGTGTGACGCATGCGAGTACAGGACTTGCTCCATCAGCACCCTGAAGAGGCACGCGCTAACGCACACGGGAGAGAAACCGTACGCGTGCGATACATGCGGTTACACCTGCACCACCTCCAGCAGCCTCAAGATCCACGCGCGCACGCACACGGGAGATAAACCGTACGCGTGCGACAAATGCGGCTCTGCCTACACCACCTCCGGCAGCCTCAAGACGCACTTTCTCACGCACACGGGAGAGAAACCGTACGCGTGTGATGCGTGCGAGTACAGGACTTGCTCCCGCGGCAACCTGAAGAAGCACGCGCTAACGCACACGGGAGAGAAACCGTACGCGTGCGATGTATGCGAGTACAGGAGTTATCGGCTGCGGGATCTCAAGAGCCACGTGCGCACGCACACGGGATAAGCGTGCGACACATGACGTGAATACAGGTGTATGAGCGCCAGCGACCTCAAGGTGCACTTTCTCTCGCACACAGGCGAGAAACCGTACGCGTGTGACATCTGCTCTTTCAGCGGCTTATCCTCGGCCGCTCTCTCGAAACACATGCGCACGCAGTCGCACCGAAGAAAGGCCATGTTCAATCAATCGTGAGTGATGTGATGGACGGGTTAAACAGCTAATTCGTCAGACATTAAACGTGTGGATACAGGACTGGTGCACTCTCTCCAGTAGACTCCAGTGACGTACACTCCGGCTTGTATAAGAGAAGAAATCCTGAAAGGCGATGTGCATGCAATCATGAGTGATGGGACTGACATTCTACCGATTAAACAGTTAATAAGCCAGTTCGTAGTTACGCACTGGCGTCCTATGATGTCATCGGGTCATAGGTCATTTGTACATAGCTGAAAAGTTGGATCGCGCTTTCGCTCGTACGCACTTGCAGTATACTACTACATAGTATGCATGAATGCTATACAAAAGCAATGTAAAATCGTGCGTGCGTTTGTTTTCTGTACTGAACCGATCGACTATCTGCCTGTGCTTTTTATTTTTTGGATTTTTACGTGTGTATGATATTCATTGTAGGGTATTTTAGGTAGATATGCAGTGTCGGTTCTTCTCGGTCAGTCAGTTAACTGCAGTCAGTTCAGTCAGTCTCGGTCATATCATTTATTTATGGATGTCTTTTTGCTCCCTGGATTTCTTGATTCTAATACAACAGAAATGCACACTAAGGCATACATGTAATTAACTTGCAAAGCATATATATTGATTCATGTTTAATGCACATCTAACTACATTTATATAAACAAGGAGGAATGTTAACCTCTAAATACATTGTATTATTTCTTATTATTAATATCTATGAAAACCTTCAATTTGAATGAAATCAATGAAAGTACTATTTGATATAAATAATAAAAAATATATGCGGTATTCCTGTTTCATGTGTAAATGGTATTTTAGCTGGCATAGTATGGACATATATTGTAATCAAAATACTAATAACTGAAATAGTATGCATTCAAACAATGTTATGTTTATTAATGAATGCTATTTAATTATTGAATGTTCGTTGCTTTATTAAGTATATAATTGAGAATAAGATGTAACTGCATGTGTGTGAATGATGCAATGAGAAAATGGTGATGGAGACGTCAGATGTTCATGATGACAATTACAGTACAACTTTGGTGAGGATGAAAAATATTAAGGAAACCTTTCAATAAATGATGGACTTAAAATAGTTTTAGAATGTCTTAATTCTCATGTGTACAAATAGCTACTAGGTAAACTCGAAAGTTGTTCACACATGCATCTTTACGTTATTGGCATAATTAGTACTGAAATCATTCCATGGGTCCTTTATAAACATGTATCCCTATAGCTAAAAGGCAGGATAGCCAAGGCCAAGGCAGCTGAATTCTCTCACTGGAAATTTTTATTAATTAAGTGGAAAAATTTATTAAATAATTAATTTAACTTAAATGAATTAATTGGATCCGGGATCACACCAAGAAGTAATCAATTCTAAGTTGAGCCCGCCATGTTCTGACCTATCCTGGAAATTTTATTATTTAATTAATTAGTTTTAATTAATTAATTGGATCAGAATCCGCGACGCAAAAATCTCATCAAATTCTGTAAGTTAGCCCATTCTGAACGTTTCGCTGAAAATTTTATGACAATCCCGTTCATAACTTTTTCAGTTAGGCTTGTAACACAACCCACAAACCACACAAACCAATAAGAACTACACGCCGGGTGAAAAACAACATCCGCCAAGCCCCTGGCGAAGGTAACAAGCATCTTTTTTCCATTTTATCAACTAAGTAACAGACAACAAAATCATTGAACAGGCCAGGCAGGCGGCGGGCAACAGCAGGAAGGCAGGCAAGGCAGCGCGGGTAGGCAGCTGGTGAGCGAGGCATGGTAGGCAGGCGGTGCTGGTGAGCAGGGCAGTGGGCAGGCTGGTGAGCAGCAGGCAGGTCAGGTCTAGGCTGGTTGAGGCAGGCAGGCAGCCAGGCTGGGTGAGCAGGCAGCAGGCAGGCGGCTGGCTGGTGAGGGGCAGGCAAGGGCAGGCCAGGCTGGTGAGCAGGCGGCGGAGGCATGGGCTGGTGAGGCAGGCAGCGCTGGCTGAGCAGGCAGGCAGGCTGGTGAGGCAGCGCAGGCAGGCAAGGCTGTGGAGCAGCGAGGCCAGGAGGCAGGCGAGCAGGCAGAGGGCTGGTGAGCGAGCGCAAGGCTAGGCTGGTGAGCAGGCAGGCATGCGGAGGCTGGTGAGGCAGGCAGGCTGTGAGTCAGGCAGGCAGGTGGAGGCAGGGCCAGAGCGAGGCAGGTCTGGTGAGGCATGGCAGGTCAGGCTGGTGAGCAGGCAGGCTGGCAGGCTGGTGAGGCAGGGCAGGCAGGCAGGCTGGTGAGCAGGCCGGCAGGCAGGCTGAGCAGGCAGGCAGGCTGGGTGAGCAGGGTCAGGCGAGAGGCTGGTGCAGCAGGCAGGGCAGGCAGGCTGGTGAGGCAGGCAGGGCAGGCGGCAGGCTGGTGAGGGCAAGATGCAGGTCAGGCTGGCTTGGTGAGGCAGCGCAGGCAGGCAGGCTGTGAGCAGGCAGGCAGCAGGCTGGTGAGCAGCAGGCCAGGCTAGGCTGGTGAGCAGGCAGGCAGGGCAGGGCAGGCTGGTGGCAGCGCAGGCAGGCAGGCTGGTGAGCGGCAGGCAGGCAGGCTGGTGAGCAGCGTTAGGCAGGCGAGGCAGGTAGGCCAGGCTGGTGAGCAGGCAGGCAGGCTGGTGAGCAGGAGCAGGCTTGGTGAGCAGGCGGGCAGGCCAGGCAGGCAGCAGGCGCAGGGCTAGGGCTGGTGACAGGAAGGCAGGGCTTGGTGAGGCAGGCAGGCAGGCCAGGCAGGTGAGCAGGCAGGCAGGTTAAGGCTGTGAGCAGTGCAGGCAGGCAAGGACCTGGTGAGTCAGGCAAGGCAGGCAGGCTGGTGAGGCAGGGCATGCAGGGTCAGGCCTTGGGTGAGGGGCAGGCATGTAGGCATGCAAGGCAGGACTAGGTGAGCGGCAGGCAGGCAGGCTGGTGAGCAGGCAGGCAGGCAGGCAGGTGGGCGGACAGGCAGGCAGGCTGGTGAGCAGGCATGCAGGCAGGCGGGCAGGGAGGCAGGCAAGTGGGCAGGGAGGCAGGCTGGTAGGCGGGCAGGGAGGCAGGCAGAAGGCGGGCAGCGAATTTTTTTTCCTACACGTTATATCCATTGGGCTCCTCTGATTGGCTGCTTTGATTTGACCACACCATAGATAGTGTTTGGGATACCTTAGATAGTATATAAGCAGATTCGGTTTATTGTTATTGTTCGGGTTGGGGTTAGGGTTAGGGTTAGGGCTAGGATTTTTGCACCATTCCTTGATATACGGAAAGTCTGATGCGGAAGTTGATATGCGTATATCACGCCCAATGGATATAACGTGTAGGAAAAAAAAATTCGCGGGCAGGCAGGCAGGCTGGTGAGCAGGCAGGCAGGCAAGCGGGCAGGAAGGTATGCAGGGCGGGCAGGCATGCGGGCAGACAGGCAGACAGGGATTGTATCCGTAGAAGAAATATGACCTTTGATACCCTTGGACCAATTCCGAAGTGTACGAACAGCATGCTGTTTTTGAAAGTGAATGTTGGCATGTTGGCGGCATAATATATGGAAGCCCTGAAACGACATCCGACTTTTTGAGTTATTCTGATTTCTGAGTTTTCGAGTTTACGAGTTTCTGAGTTTCCGAGTTTCTAAGTTTCATCTGCGCTTGCCTTTTCATATATTTTATTATATCCATATTTTATATGTGTTCTATTATTAGTGTTCTATTGTCTCTGCTTTAGGCGCTTCAGCCCTGAAATGACATACAACTTGTTGAGTTTTCGAGTTTTCGAGTTTCTGAGTTTCCGAGTTTCTTTTCCGAGTTTCTGAGTTTCATCTGCGCATGCCTTTTCATATATTTTATTGTATCCATATTTTATATATGTTCTATTATTAGTGTTCTATTGTTTCTGCTTCTGGTGTTGGTGTACGCGCAGAAGAAACTTAGCAACTCCGAAACTCGAAAACTCGAAAACTCGGAAACTCAAAAAGTCGGATATCGTTTCAGGGCTTCCATAATTTTCTGTACCATGTTTAGATTCCCTATTCCCAGTAGATCATCCATATATAACAGCGGTGGTATTTCTATGGTACTTTGATATACCTCTACTAGGGAGCCATATCCTCCACTGTTTATTTGGTTCTTTATTTGGTGGTTTATTGTTATCTTGAGGGGTCAAAAGACCGCCCGAGACACTGCTATGTTTGATATCATATAGAGGGGTACAAAAAAGCCATAAAGCTAGCTTACTCATCCGACCCAGCATTAAAGTATGAAAGTATTACAGTATAAGAAGTAAAATTGGTCTTGTCGTGTAGTTGTGACATTTCGTCAGGTGGCGTAGCCACAGCGACCGGTTGGTCATTTTTAGCTAACCTTGACATCGTCAAGCTGAGCTATTGCCATGGGTCGTCGTCCGTCGTACGTCCGTCCATCCGTCCGTCCGTCCGTCAACATTTGGCTATGGTCAACGATAACTCAGGAACGGTTTGACCCACATGTTTGAAATTGGGTATAGTTGTTACTGCTATGCTCCCATATTAAACGTCCTATTTTGGAGCACGCCAGTCGACGTATTTTCGAGCCACGGCGATTTTTTGGCAAAAAATGGAATTGCCCATAAGTCAGTTCAGGTTCAACTGGATTTTTGCTCATTTTTGGTATGCTGAATGAATTAAGGGCTAGGGGTTTTGATATTATGCAAATTAGGTAGGGTTTGGCAATTATATAGCATATTATACTAGACACGACAGATAAACAAACAGTCTGTGGTGTCCACACTCGTCTGGTTCCGTTTTAAAGAATTTTATTGACAGTCTTTAATGGCACAATTCCTGCTATGAAGATATTATGATTTTATACTATTATTATTATATTGATTATTATTATGATATAAAGATTATGCTAAAGAAACATGCAAAGCGGGTATAGCGCCATCTAGCCCGCGGGCCGCCTACCGTCACAAATTGTGATTCATTTTGGTTTATACAATATTCTAAGCGATACTACGGAGATACTAGATACTCATACCGATACTGAGAAACGTGGCTATCTACCAGCACAAAGTATTGCACTACCGCAACAAAACCGCTGGTCACGTGCAGCGCAATCTAGCCGGTTTAGTGAGTGCGCTAGTGGCAGCCGTTTCTTATAGGGGTAGTCAACAGGTTGCGTCGATACCTAGAGTGCACAGGATAGGTAACGCAGATAGATAACACGAAACACAGTATTATGAAAGCTCTCCTGCGTGCGTCTATTTCAGCTCAATCGAGACACAATACACACATCTACGAACTACACGATATCTCCATCCACCATCAGAATCGTAAGCCGAATATGCAAGTACCCTCGTACCGTAAGAGCGTGGATCGGCGACAGTAGTTCGGCAGGGGTGAAGGTGGACAGTTGAAAGGTAGGAGGGAAGATGGCAAAGGAAAAGTATAAAGGCATAGGAT